CGTCCGCGGCGGCCCCTTCCCGGCCCGCGTCCCGGGTCCGCTCGGCCCCTCAGCGCCCGCGGCGCCGGCGGTGGCGGGCGGGCTGGGGCAGCGGCCCGACCCCCGAGCGCGGGCGGCGGGACGGCGCTAGGCCGCAAAGCCTCCGCAGCCTCGCGTCCCGGCCGGGCGGGGTCGGCGCTGCCCCGCGGCGCGGCGGTGGGAGCGTCCGGGCGACGCCCGCGTCTCGGGGGAGGGGGCGGCCGGCGGCACCGCCCGCTGTGGGCTTCGTGTCCGTCCCCGAGAGTGTCAGGCGGGACTCGCCCGGTCGTCGCCGTGTGTGGGGTCCGGGAGGGAGGCCGCGTTGAGGTGAAGCGGTTATTATCTGAAGTGCGTTCTTAGCATTAAGATAACCGTTTCTTGCTTAACTGTATTTATCCGTTTTGTCTTGGGCGTTTTCTCCTGCTGTTTCTTCTTCTTAAACTGGTCCCTGACGTTTGTGATACGGCAGTGTGTGTGCATGGTGCTTGCTAAATACCATGCAATTAATGGTATTTTTGTGTGTGTGCTGAAGTGCTCACCAATGGTTATTTTACTTCAGATTAGGTAAAAAGCAATTTTAATAACGATGGTGATTTTTTTTCTAGGTATCTCAGAGGCGTGAGTTTTCTGTTTTTCTCCTGAAACTTACTTTGGAAAGAATTCCTCCTTTCTTCCCTTACCCATCCTTCACTCCCCACCCCCACCAAAGTTTAATGACTATTATGTATATTTATATTACTGTGAAAGGCCTTTTAAATTTTACAGAAGCATAACTGAATCAATATTTAACGTTTACAACTAAGAGAGGTGATAAAGGATATTAGGAAAATAGGCAAATTGTGTCATTTGGAATTATTTTCTTCATTGTTTGACATCACGGTGGAAAAGGGGAGTAAAAAAGTATACCTTTTGGCATTAATTGGCGCGTGAGGCTGGAGAAGGAATCAGAGTTGAGATTTTTTTTATCATTGAAACCAGTTCATAGTGGGAGGGCCGAGAAAATGTATATTTATGAATCAATTTACATGGCTTGTCACTTTCTACGTTTCTAGATTCGTATGTTGCAATAAAAAATTTTTAAAAATCAATGTTTATTTAGAAGTCAGAGCTGGCTTTAGTTTCCTGAAGGAAGTACGTGTTAAAAACAGCCAATGTGTAATACAAAGACGCTGAAGTCTTGTTAGCAGGAATAACTGAAAGATGTTAACACTTTGGACTTGTGGTATCAGACTATGCTTATTTTTGCACCCTCTGATGGAAAGAGAGATAAAACAGAACTCTGTTTTGAAAAAAAAGTGTCTTAACAGATTTCAATTTACAGGTTGAAATTTAACCAATGAATAGGTTACACGTGTGGCAAGTTAGTAAAAAAAAAAAAAAAGTCAGTTCTGAATGTTGCAAATCAACCTCACAGTTTGTGGTGGGGAAATTTAATATGAGGCTGATGTCCAGTTTCCCCAATGATAATTGGTATAAAAGAAGTCTTTTTCTGTTAGCTTTGAAGTCTCTGAATAGTTTGCTACTTTAAACATGCTTGAGTACCATAAATACATCTCAAGGAAAGTATATGCAAAGTATCACATTCGTGAAGCATTATAAATGTCTTATGGTGAGCTATTAATAGAACATGGCAGGTGGAACCAGGTATTCATCATTGACACTCAGATTGCAAGTCCTTGGAAGAAAGACTGAGAGCTTGGCCTAAGCTCTGTTGGCAGGGTAGAAAAACACTTAGGGACGCACTGGCCTTCCAATTTGGGTGCAATAAGATAAAAGCAATGATTTGCATTTATTCAGCACTTAATTTATAATGTGATTGCACATATGTTATTTGATTTGTAATACAATTATTCTGTGAAGTGGACAAGGCGCTTTATTTTTTTTTTAATGTAAGAAAACAGTCTCAGAGGTTAAATGCTTTGCCCCGAGTCTCAGATCTCATCTCCTAAATATCAGTAATCTTAAGTTTCTAATCTGAGAAAACATTTTCATTGTTATTTCTGCTATCCTGTAGTCATATAGTTACATTTAATATGTTGAGATAAGAACAAGATTACTCTTTCAGTCTTAGAATTAAGATAATACACGCTTTATGGAAATGCTTATTTGTTATAGGAAATAAATATAACAAAGTTTTTTTTTTGTTTTTTTTTTTAAGGGCCAATCCAGAAAGAACCTTTGACTTGGTATTGAAAGTGAAATGTCATGCCTCCGAAAATGAAGGTATGTGTGTTCTGTTAATTCTTAAAATAACCGATTGAGTCTGTCAAAGCAAGTGTTAATGTTGTGGACTGCTGGAACATGGTAGTGTCAGGAAAATAATAGTACTAAATGTGTGTTCTGCATAGAGTGTCTCCAGTTTCTGGTAATAAAATAGATGCTAGGTCTTTGTCCTGGGGTTATAGAAATCGTGAATGTTATCTGTGCAGCTTGAATTTCAGGTGTGTGTGAAGCCCATGTAACTTACAACTCAACTCTACCATGATTCATTGATAAAGTTACTGTTACTTTTGGGAAAGGGTATGTCTTTTCATTTACTTTCATTTGTGTTTGAAAATTGAGCATATTTTTAAACGCATGAAGGTAAATTCTCTGCCAGTATCAATGGGAGCTACACCAGTTCCCGTCTAGTGTTTATGGAATGTGGAATGTAGACTGAGTAGCCCCTTGGGGTGGGTTTACTTCAGTAGCACAGCACTTTCGGAGAGAGATAAACAATAGCGTGACATTACTTGGAAGGGTTTCAGCTGTCAGTTCCATATGGTTTCCTGAAAAGATGAGAGTATAGCACTTTAATATCATGATTTTTATAATTTCCCCCACTTTTGCTACATTGTGTATGTCCACGTGTGTGGGGGGGCCATGGGCAACAGACAAAAATAAGGAATGTCTCCTCGCTTATTCTTTTAATATTTCTTTGCGTGGCGCCTCTTCACGGATCTCTCCAGTGTAGGCTCTTACCCGTAGTGCCCTTCGATCCTGGATAGCATGGTGATTAGGTGTGGGGTTTTGTGGAGACTAGTTGGCTATCCGAAAGCCTTGGTGGAAAGTTTGCTGACACTCTTAGCTCCAGAAACCAGCTAGCAATTATCTTCTCGTAAGCAATTTAGAGCTGTACACCCTAAAATAGAGGAGCCCCACCCAGCTGTGGTGAGATGGGCATGGCTAATTTTAGGTAGGAAGTCGCACACATTTCTGGCTCCACCAGCCCTGCCTGCTGCACTGCTGGCCTGTTTGGCCTGCTGTTGTCAGGTACGTCCACTGGCAAGGAGTGACCCTAAGTTGCAGGGAGTGTGTTCTGACTAAAGAGGTTATTGTGTGTCGTCCTACATGGAGTAAAGTTTGTCCATTTGCATTCTTTCCAGGCCCAGCGAAGGCCTCTTTGCAGAATGGGTACTCAAATGGATATATTATTTTTTCAGCTCCAGTTTAAATCTATTCTATAGTGTATTTGTTATGGATTAATCTTGAAAATAACAACCATAACATTACCTAAGGTGTGTGGAATAATGCTCACCTGATTTTGTTTGTAAAATAGGCTAAATTCAGGCTAGACGCGGTGGCTCACACCTGTAATCCCAGCACTGTGGGAGGCCGAGGTGGGAGGATTGTTTGAGCTCAGGAGTTCGAGACCAGCCTGAGCAAGAGTGAGACCCCGTCTCTACTAAAAAAACAGAGAGAAATTAGCTGGACACCGGACATGGTGGCTTGTGCCTGTATTCCCAGCTACTCGGGAGGCTGAGGCAGGAGGATCGCTTGAGCCCAGGAGTGTGAGGTTGCTGTGAGCTAGGCTGACACCACGGCACTGTAGCCGGGGCAACACAGTGAGACTCTGTCTCAAAAAAAAAAAATAGGCTAAATTCATTTAGAAAACATGGATTTTCCATATTTTTAAATTCATGCTAAAGTGATCTTGAAAGAAAGATCAGTCTGCCTTATATAACATTCAGTCTATGCATGAGTAAGAGAGACTGTAACCTTTTCATAAAGACTTTTGAGTGGTTTACTGCCTCCTTCCTCCCTTCACTCTTTGCTACTGTTCATGAACTCACCATTGCAGTTTGTATCTTCTACTTCTGCCCTGCTTTTATCACTGTCTTGTCTTTTTGCTGTTACTGTTTAAGTCACTAGTTTTTAGAAACATCTTCATTTATATTTTAAGGTTATCCAGCTTAGTAAAATTTGAAATATAATAAATGATTAAAGTAAACAATTTTGGCTTCTCTATAGGTTGCAATTAATGCATTCTATCTGGCTAATTGGCACAAAATTGTAAAGATTTTATTGAAAGCTAAACTCAACCATGCAAAAACCAGTAACGTTTCTTCTTTTGAAGGATGTAAATAGTATGAATATAACTAATATTTTAGGATCTAACAAATTATAACCTTTTGTGCCCTAAAAATTAATGCTATCTATAGCTAAGAGGGCTATAAAAGTAAAATTTTATGTTGAATTGAGTGTTTATGTAATGTTTTCTCAATTTTCTGTTTTATTGCTAAATCTTAAATGGAAAAACTGCAGAAATTATTTAAAAAGTTATTGGGCTATTCCTATTTAACTGTCAATACTTATTTTAATAAGAGTCTAATATGTGCATTAACTTGTTTAAAGTAGGGTAATTTTTTTTGTTAACCTTTAACTGAGCATGGGTGAAATTCTTATATAGTAATAGACTTGGAAAACAAAATGTGTAAATTAGGATGTCTTGGGATACAAATATAAAACTGATTTTAATAATAAGGGAACTTGATAGCTCATATAAGAGGATGTCGAGTATCCAGGTTCTTTCTGCATCTCGGCTGTGCCACCCACAGTGGTGGTGTTATTGGAAGACTTCGATTCCTTGTGCGTGTACGATGGCTGTCAGTAGAAGCTGGAACTCTGCTTTCTCGTTTATGATCATGGGGGTGACAGAAACTGGCTTTTCACGGCTCTGTCTTTAGGGCCAGAAAACGTCTTTCCCCAGATCCCCCAGTAAACCTCTCCTTGTGTCCTAGTGGCCAAAGTGGGCACGGGCCTGACCATCTCTGAAATAATTATTGGTGGGGTAGAGGTAGAGGAGTGGGTGGCAAGACTGTCACGATTAATTTATTAAATAACTGGCAAGGAAGAGATGTTGGGAAATCAATTAAATTGCTCTTTGTAAAAGAATGCCCACAATGCTGGTTTATTTTTTGAAGACTCTGATCACATAGAAAATAAGCTCAGGGTAAACTTGGTTTATACTGAGATTCATGATACTCTGTTAAGGTATTTCACATGCTTCTTTTGATCATTATTTAATAGAGAAGTTTACATTTTTTCATTTATCCTGAGTAACTTAGATCATGAGAGAGACAAGTTATTGTTAACTTTTAGTGGTTTGAAATGGCATCGGTTGTTAAAATATGATACAGCTAGCTTTGGTGAGATTGTGATCTTCGATCTGTTGCTGTTTGGACTTGTTTCAAAGACATCACATGGGCTTTTTTTTTTGAAAACACCTCATTTTATTATAGAACGCTCTGGAAAATACCACACTAGTTCCATATGGAGGGCCTCACGGATGTACAAATTGCCATGAGGGGTTGGTAGTGTTTCCCTACAGTGTCCCCCGTGTGTTAGTAGAATTGGCCTCTGGCAGACTGCTGATGGCATCTTTCGATGGCGGAGGTTTCCCTGGCAGAACAACCCCGAGAAACTGCTGCTCCAGCCATCCAAGAGCGAGGTGCCAAAGTTTAGATCTTAATGCTCTTCCTGGTACATCTCCAAGCTAATTGCTATTGTCATTCTTCACTTGCTGTCTGTCTGTCTGTCTTCCCGGCAGGCCGGGAAGTGCAGCCGGCAGCGATGACCTCTCCTCAATTCTGTTGACAGAACTGGTTGTTACCACAGCGCCTCCACTTCCCCAGAGTGACTCAGGATTCGGGGAAATGCAAAGTAGCCCTTGCTCTAGATGAGAGATGCCGCCTCTACACGTTCCTCTTCTCGGCAGTGGCCTTGGTACTCCAGCGTTCTCTTTCTTATTTGCTGACTGGGTACCCTGCTGCTTGGAGGAGGAGGAGCAACAGCGGCGGCAGCAGCTGCTTGTGGGCCTTGCTCGGTGCCAGGCACACTTGTGCGTGTTTTCCTGCACTAACTGTTTGAGCCTCGCAAAAATCTTACGAGATAGGAGACGTTTATCTCCATTTTGCCATGAGGAATGAAGTGCAGAGAAGTGATGAGCCTCGTCCAGGGTGGTCGGCTCCGGAGTCTGTGTTTAAACGCTGCCCTCCCGCCTCCCGCCGCACAGCGGCCTCACGTGAGCTCAGTGCAGGCTGTTTCATCATGCGAGGGGATAGTTGGGTGTAAACTATACATGTTGCAGGTAATTTTTTCTAGATGGGAATACAGTGTATTCCCTAAGATTAATGAATCCCGTGTAATTCCACCTAAAACAATCACTGAGAGTTTCTTGTAGCCACAGACCTGACTCAGCAGATGCCCGTCCTCACCGCTTCTCTGTTTAAGGATTTGCCCCTCCATGTTTAGTGACTCTTTGATCTAACAGTTCTGGCTATTTATTAGTGGTTTTAAACACTTCTTCAGCAAATCTTGTTTTCTTTATTCCTTTCTCTGTACCCAGAATAATTTCTCTTAGGAACAAGTCCCCATTTGCTGCCAACTTTCTACTCTGATCGTTGCATCCAACCCAATATCAAATTATCCATCTATCTTATCTCTACCTCATGTTAACAGTTCAACTGCCCTTCACTCTTCTTTCAGATCATAACCTTGAGCCAAAGAATTCGTAGTATCCCCCATGCCCTGCGCATGAAAGTATTTCTGTGATTACTTTTGCATTTGGTAACTTTTTATCTGTAGTGATACTGGAATCCACATTTGACTTCTGCTTGTGTTTTAGCACTTACTGTGTTTTCATAAATATGTCTAGTATAGTCATATGTAGACATATAAATATGTCTAAATGTCTGTTTGCCCTGCTTGAAGTAAGCGCTTCATGGCCAAAAATGTATTAATTAGTATCCGTAAGAAAAGGCTTACCATGTTTGTTATGTTTAATGAATATTTACAGAATGAGTAAGTGAAATTGGGCCTAGGTTAATGCCTGGCCATGAATAAATGGATGTTGATTATATTAATTCATGGAGAGCTGCTTGTAGAAGTGATCTTAAATGCATGACAGTAGCAGGGGCGTTAGAAATATATGTCCACATACACCTTGGAGTGGACCATTTTGG